GAAAAAGCAGCACCTCCATGCTGAAAGCACTGGAAGCCGAGTTAGGAAAGGGAACGGCTGGCTGCAACTTCTCTTCTGCCAAACCCCATTTGTTTCAGTGTTACCCCAACCTCCCACCACACTACCTCTCCCTGGGTTTAGCTCCTGGCTGCATCCGTTGCTCTCCGGGACAGGAAGCATCTAGGTTTCATGTCCGTGGTGCTTGCAGGTGTTGCTGTACTAATCGTGCACCTGAAACGGGCTGGCAGGCTCACAGTCTACAGATGATCACCAGCTTTTTACCCACCATTTTAGGCCTATCTTCGAATGCCATTGCAGCACTGCTCGTTAAGGATTTGGAAGTGGGAATGAAGATGTCTATTTCTGCAGTATCCCAAGACGACCGCCTGACTCAATATGCAGCATTTCACTTCTTTGCCCAATTCTCAATGCACCTGACAGCATCCATCTTCCCATACCAATGTGAATCAATTCTGAGAGCAAGATTTTATGAGACAATGTCAGACATTTTACTAAAATGGCATGTTTTATTGATAAACAGCACAATCAAGGTCTGGGTTCAGACACATTTTGAAAAAGCCACAATCTGACCATACCATATGTGAAAACCACCTGAGGCCCACGCCTGGGGTTTCTATACTGGGGCAGTCAGCACAATAAAGTGTCTAACAGTCAAGCTATTGTTGATGACTATCCAGTAAAAATCATGACATATGTACATATATATGCAGCTTTTTTCCAGTATTTTGTTGTTAGGAAGGAGCTGCTACAGATTTAATGAAAATATTGAATGCTTCCAACTACATACACTTTATTTTTAGAATTTTTAAATGCACTTTTTGCCCAGAGCAAAGACAATTAGCTTAAGAATAGTTTCATACTTACTGAACCTGCAACACATTTAAAAAAAAAGTCAGCAACATTTTTCAATCCTTGAAAGCATGGAGACGGCCACTGGAGTTACCGCCCACTAAAATATTCTGAGTGGGGTGCAGGACATTGATGGAGCATACAGAACCCAGGTAATCTATATTATAGAAAGAGTGCAATAATTTCCCAGTGGCCTGGTAGACTTCTATTTGTCTTGGGCGTGCCAGGCTGCCAACCACAAAGCAGTCCTCCTGCTTAGGGTCCCAGATTGCTCTGAACCTAGTTAGCCAGCGTCCTGTGTTATTGTTATGTCTATTCAGAAAAATAAGAAGGGAGATAAAATGTGAAAATTAAACACTACATTCAGAAAGATACACATTCAATACAGCCAATCCTAATACTTGCTTAAACCTAGATTATCCATTTCCACACGCTTATATATCCTTGCTTCAAACAGCATCGCCTTCAGGCTTTGTTAGATGGGATATTCAACACTCAACAGCTGGATGTGAAGGGACAGAAGGGAGGACTAGGAGGTAAGGAAAGTATAGCAAACAATACTTCAATGTCAGCAACCACTTAAAAAATACTGAAGCTTCTGATTGTGTGTTCTGGTGAAAATACAAGGAAAATACTTAAAACCATTAAAAAAGTATAAATTTTCCAAGCCACTCAGAATCATAGAGAAGTAAGGCAGGAAAGGACTCCAGAGCTGACCTAATCCACCACCCTGCTCCAGGTAGGATCACCCCTATCCAAATGACCCCAGACTTGTCCTGGTGTAGCATACTCCTAAAACTAGTCGACCCTGTCACGCAACTACGAAGGCTTTCTGCCTTGAGATGCCAAAAGTCCCCTAAACTGGAACGAGGGCTGTCTGTGTCCGGCCGCTGCAATGGTGGTTAAAGATCCAAGAGAGAAAGCCAGGCTCCCTGCTACAAGGCAAACCCCCTACATCCGGCACCAATCTGCCTATGGAGTCAAATTCCTTCCTGATTCCAAAATGTGGCAACTGGTCTGACTCTGGGCAGAAAGGCAAGACCCTCAAACCAGTTTTAGTCCCCACAGGAGCACTAGCACACCCCAGTCCTTTAGTGACCCTACATTAGCTATGCCCAGTATGAGGGAAAGGACCCAGCCCTTCTTGATTAAGCGCCTGGTTTGTAAGCCTTTGGACCCGAGAGGCAGGAGTGAAGGGAAGGAAATACGGAAAATAAATATTCCTGCGTCTAAAAACAGAGCTCTTCATGATCAAAAGCTGCGACTTTGAGGTGTTTCAAAATATGGTTTTTTCTGGTGTTTTAATTTTATGTTTTATAAAACACAAAAACACACAAAACTGGCTCCATGCCTTGGTTTAAAAAAAAAAATATTAAAAACTCCTCCCACAAACTTTGTGGCCTCAGCTTTGGGTTGTGTGCAGGCTGCGCCCCGTGCAGGATAGGTGGGCAAGTAAAGGCAGCTTTACATGACCCCAATGCTCAGTTCAGTGGCCAATTGAGACCACTCCTCCATGCAATCAAGAGTACCATCAGGGCAGCTCTAACTGCAGCGGTGGTCTGGGACACCGAGTGTTGTTCCAGCTGTTGTGTGTCACCCGGGAGCAAAGCAGCCTTTACCCCACGGAAGGGACTGTGCAATCTGGGATCTGCCAGCACAAGACGGTGCTGGTGTTACAGTAGAGACCAGGCACAGGACCTACATCTTCAGCCCTGGTGTGTTGCTTACCTAACAGTTGCGACAGGCAGCACTGTAGATGATAAACAGCTGGTATCATAGACCCTGCAAAACAAAACAGGGTGAAAATGATGTTAAAATGTATTTAACTAAAACCAGGACTTTTACCTTTAAAAGGTTTATGAATACTCTATCACGAGAAGAAACCAAACAACAACTGCGCACCAGAACAAACGCACACCGAAAATCTATCGAAGACAAAAATACCCAACTACCTGTGGGGGCACACATCTCCCAGGCCTAATCCTCAAAGGGCACTTACAACACACCTTTCGTAGACGAGCCTACAAGCTCCACTTCATAAATCTACTGCACACAAAAAATCGTGGGCTCAGTACAGACATTGGATGTACGACACACTACAACCTGCCAGACCCGGCCTCTTACACTTCCCCCCCCCCCACCCCCCAACTCTTCTCCCCTTCCCTACTTTTCTGCCCTTTGTCTTCCTAATTTCCAGCTATTTCACTGAGAGCCTCTTTTTTACCTTGTATTATTACCAATGCAGTGTTTCCCTTTGGCCTTTTTTCCCCACTGCTTTCTTCCCCCTCCTTTATCTTTTGTCTTTCTAATCTCTGCCTATTTCCATTCTCACTGACATCCTGCCACACTTTTAGCTTCTCTCATTCCTTGGAGTCTCAGAACAGCAGACTTCCTATGCCTGAAGAAGGGTGACTCTTGCAAAGAACTTTATTCCAACTGCTCAGTTGATCTAATAAAAGATATCACATTGACTCAAAGGATCTTGCCTGCCTATCACAAGATAAATACAAATGTGGAACACAGTAAAAGGTATAGTATTTATCAATTCTGGTTTGGGTCCAGGTCTATAAGGTCCAATTGTCATTAATACATATGCTCCAAATTTTTCATTTGGAACAGAATTACTTTGTGTTCGTGCCCCTGTAGGGCTTGAGTTGAAGGTCACCCACTTTGAAAGCTAATCCACACCTCAGCACTCATGTGATTTAACTCTTACTCAGTTTGAACTTTTAGGTTGGGGCTATTCTGACAGCAATAGTCTTCCTTCCAAGGTTTATTCCACAATACAACCGTAAGATCTGGCATACATAAACTGCACGTCCTCCTGGCTAGACTGAGCTGGAATTAAATACACACAGGAAGTGACACATATTCTTTTCTTAAGGGGAAACAGAGAGAACACGTCTAATTTTTGTGTCCTTAAAAACAATAACAACAAACAAATGCTTTATATAAGGTCCAATTTGTAGCCAAGCCTTACCCAGGTCTCCAAGTTTTACCTACTATTTGTTTGTGCCATTTAGGTCTTTTAAGCCACCCAATTTGTGGATGCAATCGAGTGTTTAGATGGCAAGATCACATGCGTTATGATCAAACTGACAGCAGGGAAAGGGAGGCCAGCTTTTTAAACTACAGCCTGCAGTGTAAATTTGGTTCTTATTATGCCGTGTGCTTGATCAAGCTACAGGCAGTTAAATAAAAGCACCCGATTGCCCGTAAAAGCGTTAGTAGAATCATGTCAAAAAGAAATCTGGGTTCTAGGGATTTTCAGGTGCGATACTGAGCTTCATTACTCAGATTTTGAAGATACATCTATGTAAGTTCATATTTGCTGTTGTTGAACCCAAAGAGAAAAGAGAATTAAAGTGCAAAGAATGAGAAAATCATTTTTGTTACAATTTCTTGAATAGTTAGTTTTCATTAAAAACGTTAAGCAAAGAAAGTTATCAAAGACAATAAATTCCATTTACATCCAAACTGTTTTCGCCATGTAAAAAACTTCCTTCCAACATCCTCTTACCTCAACTTATCATCAGCACATGTCGTCACCACTCTGTTCCCAGTAACAGGAGAAAAATACGCAGAAGCAACACTCTTTGTGTGCCCATTGAGAAGGCATATAGGTTTGTTTCCGGCATGCTTCAGGTATCGTATGTCATAAATGCAAACGTTCCTGCAACATCCACACAAAATGATGTTTATAATGTCTGTCACAGGACAACCTTAAAGGCCTTATTTTCTCATAATGTGTTAAAAATCCCTACAGGGCTACTCAGGATTCCTGCAGGACACCTGGAGGGTCTGTCATACCCTTTTCCTCAAAAATGGAGCAGTCACGTAAGTCCTTTCCCAACACCAAAGTATTAGAAAAGCCAAATTATTTCCAGTTTTGAGATTTTTTTTAAGAATAGGTTTCTGCAGAATCAGAAAGCCCTTCAATATAAATTAAGGTTCAATTCATTTCCCCATCGTAAGTATTATTGGATGGCGCCTCTACCTACACAGATGCCATTGATAGCCAATTCCCAGTGCTCTAGCATGAAACCACAACACAGAACACACAGCGTAGGAATCACAATAATATGTGGAATTGCATACGTGGAGCCAGCAGCAACAAAATACTGTTTGTTCACTGGATGAACGTGAACTGTCCTCGTGGCCTTGGAATTCAGGCTTGCAGAAAGCTCGGCAGAGGTTCCCGGTGTTCGTCTGTCCACAACAGCCACATCACCATCCCAGCGCCCTACCACTAAGGTGGAGACACTATCTGGCAAGAAGTCGAAGGAGGACATCTGGGCATCTTCGCTTCTGTACACCTAAGCACATAACAGTGGTTTAAGTCAGTCAGCGTACACTTATTTCAAAATACAGTCCAACTAATCAGTGCAATCCCTGGCAACCTTTCACAATAACTGCAGTGCAGGATCCAATGCAGACTGCTTTAATTGCTGCTGAGAACTTTTACATTGTTGTTCTACAAGTAATATTGGTGCAGACTGAATATCTGACAGTCTTACCCCTGAACAGCGAGGCATTTAGACAGTTCTTTCATGAGACCAATGAAAATGAACTGTATAAGGACACTAAACGGAGAGCTTACAGTCTAAAACATAGAAAAACACAAGCGTGGCCATGCACTCCTGTGGCAGAACTGCCCCGTATGATCCTCTCACTGTTGTACCCTTTTTGGGAACAAAACTCATAGCATCACCTGTCTCCTTCCCAAACATGACAGCGCTACTGGGCCCTACCTATGGTTTCCCAAGCAGCTGTCTCAGGAAAAGGGCCCAATCCTGGCATGTTCTCTGGCCTACCAAATTGCCCATTGTAGCTCCTTCCTTACCAAGAGTCCTTGTTCCCAGCTAATCTAGTGCTAAAAAGGCTTAAAAAACACTTACTTAGATTCCTAGAGTCGGAAGGGACCTCAGTGCGCCATCTAGTCCAACCCCCTGCTCCTGGCAGGCAAGAAGAGTCACCAACTCTGGGGTCACATGATCCCAGCCAGGTGCCTATCCAGTCTCTTCTTGAAGTCCCCAATTAACTTATGTTAATTGATTATACTTTGAAGCATGGAAGGTTTAACCAAAGATGGGGGATAGAGGGGAAAAGAGAGCAAGCGCTCAGCGAAAACAGCTGCCCCACAATGGAGACCATCATGGAATAATAGCCATTATCTTCACCTGAAGGATGAACAAACCAGAGCTAAGAGGAGTTTTGCATTGCACTGTGATTTAAGATTCCAGAGTCCCTCTAAATACAATGTGCGTTTGTTTGCTGCCTTTAAGACATACACTTTAAAGAAGCAAAGTGTTCAAATAAGCAAGAGTTATGCAGAGTAAAAATGAGTTAGCTGCCAGACTATTTTAACCTTTTCAGTAAGGCAAGTGTCCACGATCTCTTAAGACAACTTCCCTTGGGGGTTGGACTAGATGTGAGCTCCTGAGGTCCCTTCCAACCCTCATTTTCTATGGCTCTATGAAACACTGCAGCTGAATAAAAAACAATGCAGATTTTCCAGGTAGGTTATCGACTAGGACATTTCTCACTGGTTTTTTAGTATATAAAAGGTTTCTTTACACATCCTTATGCAAGAACTTCCTAGCAACTAGAGCAGCTGACAAATCATTGTTGGTATAATGGGACTGAACACACATCATAGCCACCCAGACAGAGAGACCAATGAGACTGGAGCATAACGGGACGGTGAGTATGCTCACCTCGTCAAAGACAGCGTTGGTGACATCCCCACAGCGTAACGTTTCATAGCTCAGGGACAGCAGATGAGCAGGATTAAATGGAGAAAAATACATGCAGCTTACTGGGTAACTATGTGGTATGAAGACATATACTCCATCCTCAGGTTTATAGCTCTGAAAAAAATAAAAAATAAAAAATCAAGAAATTGGATGAACATAACAGATTAACCAGTACATTTATTTCTACCTTTAAATTTTAAAAGAGCAATAAGCATTTAAATTACAATAATGCATCACAATAGATGCTGACTTGCATTTCCAAAAGCTGCATTAAAAAAAACAAAACAAAAAAACAAAACAAAAAACTCCAGCAAGCTGAAATAATAGCA